ATAGTTTATAACTTAAACTCCCTGTTAGCAAATAAGCTTTGTTATCCTAACGACGTAGTGTTTAGGCTTAACAACGCCATTAATAATTAAGAATAGAAAGTATCTCTAACTTATTTTGAGAAACAAGCACTTTAGTCTTTATTAATGTTCCTTTAAAAGGAAACGGTTAAACAGTATTTATACAAAGCACTTTTTTGAGGGGTTGTTTTTGTGCGGGGCTATTTTTATAACAACGGAAACGTTCTTCGTTTAGTTAATGCTCCCTTATTCTTGCTTCCTTCATGAGAAAATGAATACTTTGCCGATCATTTCCAATATAGAAAATTCGTGTAAACCGTAAAATTTAAAATAACATTTGTCAATAACAAATGCTTTAATTCACTAAAAAAATTTTGTTTGAAGTTCGAAATGAACCAAATTTGAGTGTGCAAATCAAAAGCGAACGTATGGGATTTGTCATTTATCTATTAAAGAAAGGACCAAAACGAAATATTAATCCTATTTAGGCTAATTTAACATTTGATTCAAATATAATTTCGCCCCGTTAAAACCAATTATTTATAAATTTTTTTTCTTTAAAGAAATAGAAATGCAATATTTAATAAATGATAAAGTATCAACTAATTCTTATACCTAAACAAAAGGAAATGAAAAAGTTTCTCCTCACACCACTTTTTCTTGGCGGTAAAGAAGTTTACGATACTACTTACACCACCTCTCCAAGACCTAAAACAAAAGGAAACGAAGGAAACGTTGCTAAAGTTCATATTCGTAAAGCTAACAAAAAAGCCTGTTTATTCTAGCCGACGTCAGAACTTGAAGCATTTAAATATTTAGATAAATTTTTAAAATTTATCAAAAAAAAAAAAAGCCCTCCTCCGAAGCTTCACACAGATAAAAAAAAAAAGTTTCTTTGGGGATGTGTAAAAATCCTTTGACGGTATCTTAACTTCTGCGCGGTAACAGCGCCGTGCTGTATTTTATCCTATATTCAATGTAAATTAATGTAAATTTTTGCTGCAATAATCATTGTCGTCAATATTGTCAAATGAACGATTCTTAAAACTCTGGACTAAATTAAAACAACTTTTTTTTAGAAATAACTTCATATTCTCAGATGTGAAAAGACACCACGTATTCCTAATGGTCATAAGACTTCTAGAATTTATGTAACACATTATTTACGTCACGGCTTATTAACAATTGAAATATAATAAATGTAAATAGAATCACATGAATTCGAGATTTTTCTTGCTATTGCATGTGATGGTGATCGTTACGTAATATCAGGTATAATATCCAAATTTAAATTTGAACCGTTTTCAAGAAAAAGAAATTTTTTTTTTTTTTATTTATCAAAAAAAAATAATTTAGAAATGGTTTCTGAATTTTTTCCCGGGTTATCTCAAAGTTATTCTCAAATGCTTGATGATTCCGATGATTATAATATTATTATCAAAGTTGGAGAAAATCCCAATACAAAAGAGTTTCACGCACATTCTAATATCTTGAAAGCTCGTTCCCCTTATTTTAAAAGAGCTCTTTCACAGTATTCGGATACAGAGGAAAATGATATGATCATCTTTACTATAGCAAACATTTCTCCAAATGTTTTTGAAATGATTATTAGGTAATACTGCATTTTTCTCATATAATCATGTCATGAATAACTTTAATTTGAAATCACGAATTGAAAATGAGGAACTATTTATTTTTGATTAGGTTTATATATATTGGAATTATTGATTTGAGCAAAAAAGTTGGTTCATTTATACTTGAACTTCTTGTAGCGTCCGAAGAATTGCTTATTGAAGAGTTGGTTACATTTGTACAAAAGTATTTGATTGAAAATCAAGCAAAATGGTTGCATCAAAATTTCGTCAAAGTTCTACACACAGTTTTTCAATTAGAGAGTTGTAAAATACTTCAAAATTATTGTTTAGAAACGATTTGTTATGATCCTGAACCTTTTTTCAAATCTCCAACATTAGAAAAATGTATTTTACTTGAATTAATTAAAAGAGAAGATTTACAAATGGAGGAAATTGAAATATGGAATTACCTTATTAAATGGGGAATTAATCAAACTCCCGAATTGAGAGAAAAAAGCATTACTGATTTATCTAATTGGAATAAAAAGGACATCTTGGCTTTAAAGGATACTCTGAACCAATTTATCATGTATATCCGATTCCTCGAAATATCTTCAAAAGATTTTCATAGTATTATTTGGCCTTTTAAGAAAGTGCTACCTCAAGCACTCTTTGAAGATATTGTTTCATTTCATATGTCTAATACTGAGCCCAAGCAAAATAAATTAATTCCTCGTTACAAATTATTTCCTGTTGATTCGATGATTATTAAACCAAAACATGCTGCTATCATCATTAACTGGATTCAAAGAAAAGATTCTAATGCGGGAATTCCAAGGGATTGTAAATATAATCTTAACCTTATTTATCGTAGAAGCAGGGATGGCTATGATTTAAATAATATACGTAGAATTTGTGATGGACAGGGTGCTTGTATTTTGATTATTAAAACCAAAGAAAATGAAACCATAATAGGTGGATATAATCCTATTGGTTGGAGTTACAATGAAGATTATGAAGATTATGATAATTATGATAATTACTATATGGATGAGTATGATTATGATGGCTATCATTCTGAAACTGGTGAAGAATGTTATTGGAATGCTACTAGTGAAAGTTTTATTTTTTCTTTAGGCGATGGAAAAGATTCATCAAATATTATTATTAGTCGAGTTGCAAATAATGGTTATGCAATATATGAATCAAATTTTATACCCTTAAATTTTGGTAATAGTGATTTGGTAATCAAAAATGATTTTGGCACATGCAATCAAGCCCAATATGAAAGTAATATTTTAGATAATGATAATTTTACTATTGAGGAAATGGAGATTTTTAGTTTCAATAAATCATGAATAGTTATTTTATTTTTATTATTAAATTTAGTAAAGATTAAATTTAGCAAAGCGTTTGTTACTTTATAAAAAATTTAAGTGCATTGGTAATAAACGAAGAATTTGTTAATTTTTAAGAGTTAATATATGCTAAAATTATGTAAATTTGTAACTTCAAAATTAAGCCGTTATAGCAAATAATCAAAATCATCTCGATAAAATATAAATATTCATCTCATTGAAACGGGTATGAAAGAACGATTATTAAAAAATTGGTTCAAATTTATTAAATCTTGCTAAATTTATTTTTAGAGGTCTCGGACAATTTTTTAAAATGTTTTGTGAATGCTTTTGAAGTCAAAATCAAATAATTTATTGTTAATAATAACATTGATGATTTATGTTTTAAGGAAATAGATATTGGCAAAGATATAGTTTTTATGTTGTTAAGATTATACTTTATTAATTTTATGATAGAAACTTGTTAGTTTGTCAAGGCGACAATACAGGTATTTATATAAAATATAATTATAAGATAGAGATAATAAATAATAAATATAATTAAGATAATAAATATAGTAAAGAAAATAATGCATTATAATAAATATCATAATGATAACCGTGATAACTATGATAGTAGTGAAAATGATGATCACGATTTTCCTGGTGCAGTTATTTAGTGACTGACGCAAACGGATTATCACTAACATCACTAACAGCGTTGAGGGAATAATCACGTGATAAAGAATATTGTGTTTAATTTAAATTAGACCACAGATTTATTTCTGGAATAATCAAAGATAATATGGGAAAGGTTAATTTCGTTTTAGATTTCTATTTTTAACTTTAACATTACAAACGCGTTTAATTTTAACCGGACAACAACTCTTGGTCGCGGAACACTTAATGGAATTATGAATGATTTTGGATAGAAAGCACATCATATAAACATTTGCATGGATAGCCCTTTTAAAGACTTGGCTAAAACAGCAATGAAGTTCTCATATCACTATTTGTATCTGAACCATCGGCTAAATTTTGTAACGTACTACTTTAATTTATTGCTAAAGTAAAGGATCGAAAATTATCATCAGCAAATAACATCGATAACATAGGTGCATTTGACATGATTATTTTTCAATAATTTTTCGTATGTAATAATGTGAAATTAAAAATTTCTGGGTTATTTACTTAAAACTTCAAAATTATAATTGATATTGGTATTCTAAAAGGTAAAAAAAAGCTCAAATTTTTATTTATTTGCTATACAGTATTTTCCTCCTAATAAATATAATATTCAACTCACCAATTTCAACTGACTAATAAAAGAATTCTATTCCCTAAATAAATGTAATGTAATATAATGGTTATCACGTGTAATCTTCCAGAATTGACAGCATAAAACAAATTCCATGACTAATTCTCTCAAAAAAATATAGGAATAAAATAAATTTAGCTGTGAATAACCAAAAAAATTTATTTATGATTTAGATTGAAATTATTTTCCGATCGTCTAATTTTCAACCAAATTGTGATGTTTTCAGGATATACCAAAACAACGATCGCTATAATCGAGTTTCAAATGAATTTGTAATTCATGGATAAAAGCATCCATACTAGGTTAATTTTTTATAAATAATAAAATTTCCTGTTTAATCAAAGTTGCTTTCATAATAAATCAAACACCTTATAACAACTTTAAAGATATTTAAATTTCCATTGGTGATTTTAATAGCCAAAAAGTGATTGTTCAGAATAGGGTAATATAAAAATTTTTTAATTACAAAAAGTTCGAAATAACGTATAAATTAATTTAGCAATTCGTATTTTTCGTGAAAGATCATTAATTTCACGATTGTATTATGTGAATTTTTTTATGGCACAGTATTCTATGTATTATATACAAAAATCTTCTACATGTAGTAAGTTGGTGGCATTATATTTATCCATTTATTAATAACTCCTTTTTAATTGATTAAAAAAAAATTTTCAACAAATCCTTAAATAAGTCCACATATAATTTGCTTCGAAATACTTTATTTTTATTACATTTCAACGGTCCAATTTATCTATAAAGTGTTTTAAGAATTCCGCAAAGAAAAAGTTACAAAAAGAAAAATGAGAGAAAATGAACATTTGCAAAAAGTTTTTAAATTTATAATTTGAACCGTAAAAAATTTACGCGAATATATTACATGAATACTGTTACGTTGAATATAATTTCTCCAGGAAACTCCATAATTTTGTATGTAAATTTAGCGTCAACATTACTTCATTTTGACTCAATAAAAACCTTTTGCTTACATTAAATTTTGTTTATAAATACATAAACGAAAGAACTGAATACAACAATACCGAGAACAAAGAATGATCACGTAAACCTAATAAAATCTAAAATTAGTTTATACTTTTCGGATAAAACGAACGTAGCAAGGATTTCGGATCATCTGAGTATATTTATTTTCTACTTGAGCATTGTAAATTTTACTAACTAAATTTGCTATTTCAGAAGCACAATCACTAAGAAAGAAAGAACATTAGAAACCTTTCACTTAAATAGCCAAACATCTCGTAACATCTAACGCTAATGGTAATTTTCGCACGAACTTCAAGATATCGGGTCTCGTTATCAACGTAGTCGTACTTCCAACCTTCGATGTCATCACTTAGTTCGGGATAGATCTCCTGCCAACCCACAATTACCTTGGACTGAGTTTCTGCCTTGATTGAAAAGATATTTCGGATGTGTTCTGCATCATAGTTAATGCATCCGTCATCTAAAGCTTTTTTTTTTAAATTTTTTCTTTGATTATTTGTGTCGTGAATGTCAACTTTTGAATTCTATTTTATCATAATATTAATAAACCACATTTA